TTATAAGTCATACAGAAATATAAACTAACATATAAATATTAAAAATTTTTAAATAATTCATTTTATTCTCTAAATAAACGATGTCAAAACTGCTTACTGCACCTCTCTGGTGGCACAGAAGTTAAAGTTTCATGAGAGTTGACCCCCATGGCGCAGGAGACCATTCTTGTCTCACCTGCTGCTCCCCTAAACAGAGTATTACAGTTGATATACCTATTCTGCTCCCCACTCTGTCTTTGGTGAATCCTCTCACCTATGCACCTTTGGCCTACACCTCAGTTCTTGTGCGCATAAAAAAAATAAAATTTTTTAAAAAACTGTTTACCAAGTATGATAAATTGCAGTTGAAATAATCCTAATAGTTTCCAAGTCACTGTTGATTTTTAGAAATTGGATGAGCACCTACCTAATGTAACTGTCACAAGTTACAAGCTGTCCTTGTTTGAGCCATGAATTAACTTAGGAATCTACAAACTCTTCCATTATCTTCCCCATGACACTGTAGTCATCAGGTTCTTGTGCTGAAAGCTTTGTTGCACTCAGCAACATGACCACCTGTGCACAGTACATTCCTAAACACCAGCTCTTCTCAAGTAACCTGTATCTGGATAGTAACCTGTATCTGTATCTGTATCTTTACCTATAGCATTCATACACAGATATGAAGAGTGTCATCTCTGACCCAAATTTTGACTTTAAGTCTTTCCACATTCCACATTTCTTCATACTTCACCAAGAGGATTATAAACTTATCTGAAATGGTGGAAATTCACTTTGCTTTCAATTTCTCAATTGAAAAGCTGCTGAAGAGCAGTATATAGTAAGAATTAAGACAGCAAGCTGGCCTGATGCCCAGCTATAAATTCACCTAAAAAGGTCTTGATACTCCAAATGCCAAAAACTAGAAAGAGTTCAAAGTGGGAGGAAGAAAATCTGGAAATATGCCCATGGGTAGTAATGAAGAAAGTGAATTCAGCCTGAGGATGGGACCTTCTGGCCAGCCTGGCAACTCATGCCTCATATTTTCCATCTTCCCTAACCTCAGGATATTCAATTAGGGAGCAGGTAGAAAAAGTAACTCAGAAAGCAAGGCTAATAAACTCTTCTGAGGTTAAAGTTAGGAACCAGTGGCAGGAGGAAAATAAAATATTTAGTGTACTCCACGTTTTCTGGCTAGGAATATACGAGTTTAGGTGGTCAGCTACATACCTACAACTCTATGTACTGAACATACAACCCTATCCCCACCTTCAACTGTTCCCCATTATCCATTTAATCTCAAGTAACCCTTTTTGATTTCCAAACTTCTTCCATGCACCCAACACTCTAATCATCCAAAACTTCTTTCTAATGTCTGAACAAGCCATACTTCAAGCCTCTGAAGATGTGGGTCCCTTGTTTGGAACACCCCTCCTAACTCCTACTGTTCTTTTATAACTGAGGTCAAATGTACCTGATATTTATCACTCTGCTTTCTTCTTTGATGCTCCAGTCAACATTAGTCAATCATTATAGATTTCTCACTTATCACACTAAGAAGTTAGTTTGACCTTGACCCTCCAGGGTCAAACAAATTTGAGTTTGAATCTTGGTTATGTAACAAACTAGGTGTGCAAGATCCTACAAGATGGCCCCCAGCTGTGTCACCTTCTAGCATTCACTTCTTGTGTAGTCTCTTCCTGCACTGCATTGGGACTGGTCTGTGACACTAACAGAAATGGTATGTTGGGCCCTCCCTGGTAGGGCAGCGAGTAGGAGCTCAAAACTGCAAAGCTGGCCATGGCGCTTCAGTGTGAGTGGGATCCCTGGCCCCAGAGCTGACCCACATGGCGCAGAAGACCTCTCCTGACCCACATGCTGTGCCCTTTAGCAATGTACTTCATCAATCTGCCTATTCTGCTCCCCACTCTGTCTCTGGTGAATTCTCTCATGACCCCTGTACCTCTCAGTCCCCGCACCTCTGGCCTGAACCCTAGTTCTATATGCATATAAATAAAATAAAATAAATTTTTAAAAGAATATTCTGCAATTAAAAAAAAAAGAAATAGTATGTAATATGATATTAGATTTACCTAAGATATACAAATAAGAAAATCTGGATTCAAGGTAATGGTACTTCTAACAGAGTAACCTTGGGAAAAGCACTTATCCAAAGCCTCAGTTTTCTTAGCCTCAGTTTCTCAAAAGATGAGAAACTGAGACTATAATAATATACTACAGAATAAATAGCATATCCTAAACTAGAACATATGATGATCAACTTAGAAAGAAACTGTGGCAAAATAGCTTTTTAAAAATCTTTAAAAAAACATCTGCACCCTAAGGTTGAGGTTCAGAGAATGCATCCAAAACAGGCAGAAGGCCCTCCCTGGTGGTGCAACCCTATGAAGTGCAGCACTAGCAGCATGAGTTTGATCCCTGGCCAGAGAGGTGACCCATATGGCATGGCTGACCTCTCCTGTCCTGCCAGCTGCTCTGCTCAGCAGTGTATTTCAGTACATCTGCCTGTTCTGCTCCCGACTCTGTCTCTGGTGAATCCTCTCAGCCCCTGCACCTCTGGCCTGTACCTCAGTTCTTGTATGCATGAATAAATAAATCTTTTTTTTTTTAATTAAAAATAGGCCCTCCCTGGTGGCGCAGCGGGTTAAAGCACTGCACTGAGAATCTAAAGCCGCTTCCGCATGAGTTCGATACCCGCCTGCCCCGGAGGTGACCACATGGCGTGGCAGACCTCTCCTGACCCGCCCGCTGCTCCCCTCAGCAGTGTA